TAGCGTGATCACTAATAGCAAAACAGCTAAAGATGACGACAGAATCTAGCACTTGAAATTAGTGGTGATGTACCTCTTAGATATAGAGTTCATTATTATTTTAATTAAAATGACAAAGAAGTAAGACATCTAAAAAAAAAAAAAATAAGCTGAAGACAAGCTCACCAGGATGTTGAGGCAAGAAGTTAGCTCAGTTTAAGTGGCCAAGCAGTAAGAATGAGGAGAAGTGTATAGGCTGGAATTGTCCATTTGTGAAGCAAACAAAAATAAAGTTGTCTCTGCTGAGAAATTTCCCACAGCCATTCACTTCTGGGGAGTCATCTCTGCAGGCAGGACAGAAGAACATCATTTTGGACCAAACAGATTCCATAACTCTGAAATGAGAATTTCCATTGCCTTAACAAGAGAATGACTAGCCTTAACACAGGGCTGATGAGTAACATAGGAACACCTGTCTCTTCCTGTGGCTTCCTGTGCCTTTCTGAGCCTTTCTCATGTGAGTGCACTCCCAGGTTTGAAATGCCCTGACACAACCAGCTCATCAGGCTGGGCTATACCAGAGTGTGCAACGGGAAACCCAGTACTCACAGAAAATATGGGGAAACAGTATCTCAGAGAGCCTCAGGAGCTGCCCAGTTTGCTCAGGAACCACATTTTGAATCAGAAATGAGAACTGGCAAGAGACCTAGAGACATCATGATCTCTGTCTTCATTGCATCAGTCACCCCCACACCAGAATCAAATTAAGCAAGGAGGCAATTTCCAAAATGCTTAGTTTTCAGGTCTTCATATCAGGAAGAACATAAAGAGACACGTTTCCACCATTTAACCACACTCACTACTCAGCTTAGGGTCAGCAGTGCAGTCTTTCAGACTTGTGCTCCCACTTCCTAGAAGAGAGGTGGCTTGGATGGCATTTGGGTGAGGAAGTCCTAAGTATATATTATTTTCTTTTTCTGTAATGGTAAGAAAATTAAAGCCTCCATTATCCTGGAATCAGTTCTGGTCTAAAAACCATGGTTTCAAATCAAATCTGTGCCAAATACTCCACTCCAATTGAAGAAAAAAACAAAACAAAACCATCCATCTGTGGCACTAGGGTCATAAGATGATATTTAAAAGGAGTTTTATTTTACATGTGTATAGATAAGAGATCTGACTGGAAACCCAAAGAAACTTACTTCAGATACCCTCTTAGGAAGAGTTTCTTTAATAAATAAGAAAATGTGTAGTTTTACAAATAGAGCACACTTTGACTTCTGCACAGGATTTTATTTCCCACGGCTAGGTGCAGTGCCTCACGCCTATAATCCCAGCACTTTGGGAGTCTGAGGATCTCTTGGGCCCAGGAGTTTGAGACTAGTCTAGGCAATATAGTGAAACCCCATCTCTACAGAAAAATTTGAAATATGCTTGGCATGGTGGCTTCCACCTGTAGTCCTAGCTACCTAGGAGGCTGAGGAAGGAGGATCACTTGAGTCCAGGAGGTTGAGATTGTAGTGAGCTCTGATCACACCACTGCACTTCAGCCTGGACAACAGAGCAAGATCCTATCTTTTAAAAAAAAATAGAATTTGACTTCCCACAAGGACTTCTAATCTCCAGAGTAAAATTAGGAGCATTTCTTTCCAGAGACCTGGCTAGGGTGCAGGATTAACTCTAAGTGGGATTCCCAGACTGACTCCTGCAACAATGATAAACATTCAGGAACACAATTTGTGAGCCTGGTAGTTGGTTAGGCTCCTAACATGCTCAACATAGCAAAGCCCAGCATCATATTATCTTTTTCAGAAAAATTATCTGGAAACTTTCAAAGCTACCAAAAATTCTAGGTATTCAAGTAACAATGGAAGCTGCCCCAAAAGGGCTTGAAACTTGTTCATGAAGGAAAGAAAGAAGTAAATGTCATATTACCATTGGCTATACAGAAGCAGTGATGAGCTGTGTAGAGACAGCAGGGAAGAATCACACATAACCATGGTGACATTTTTCTAAAGATACTTCACTTTTAGAGGCAAGAATCAGTACATATTCTTTATTATTTTGGCTAAGGCAGAAGTTCACTATATGAATGATTCATATTTTTATTCAATAACTATTCCATAATTCCATAATTTCTACATTTGGAAAAGAATATAAAATTAAATTATACCCAGTTGCTATATAAAGTTGCCTTCAAAACATGGTGTTCATTGAAGGATGGTACAATTATTTTCTAGAATTTCCCTTCTTAAATAATACTACTTATTTTCCTCACACTTTTGAAATAAAATATAGTGTTGAAAAACTGGAGTGGACATAATACTTTCAAATTTAGGCCAGATAACCACTAATCCAGTCTCCATTTCTGCAATTTTGTCATCTCATGAATGTGACATAAATGGAGTCATATAGAATTTAATATTTGAAATTGGCTTTTTCCATGCAGTGTAATTCTTTTGTGATTTACCTAAGTTGTTGTGCGTATTAACAATTTATTCCGGTTTGGAGGAGGGAGGTATGGCTCTCAGAAGACAACAGACAACATGAGGGACCCTTATGATGATGAAACTGTTTGTATTTTGACTGCACCAGCGCATTACAGTTGTGATATTGCACCATAGTTTTGCAAGTTGTTACCATTGAGAGAAACTGAGTAAAAGGTATACGGAATCTCTGCAGTGTTTTTTACAACTACGTGTGAATCTTCAATTATATCAAAATTAAACATTTAATTTACATAAATTTAGGTCAGACAGACTGTCCTCTTCCACCTCATGACTTCATGCCCAAATGCCAGGAGAATAATCAAGGCACATAAACAGAAGCCAAACCTATGTCTCAGGATGCCCTGAAAACAGAACAAAAAGTCCTCAACAGCATAGAAAAATCATATTTTTAAATACAAGGATGTTATACCCTACACTAGGGTACAAAAGAAAACATGGGGAATAAACTGTATATGTAACAAACAAACAAAAATAGCCACGAGAATGTGACTATGAAGAGGAAAGAAGCACTGGTCATTTTTCTTAATTTGGGGAGGAAAAGGAGAAAGACAGGAGTATCAAACAAAACTTTTAAGGATAAATCAGGTTTGAATAAGTTTAGAGGTAAAAAACTCAGTGAAGATGAAGAGATTGAAGGTCTAAGAAACATGAGGAGATTTTGAGATAATAAAACCCAAAGAAGAAAACAATTTGATAGAATTCAACATTCATTTTTTAAAATTTAACTTTTAATTTAAGTTCAGGGGTACAAGTACAGGTTTGTTACCCAGGTAAACGTGTGTCATGGGGGTTTCTTGTACAGATTATTTCATCAGCCATGGATTAAGCGTAGTACCCATTAGTGATTTTTCTTGATACTTTCCTCCCACCATCCACCCTCCAACAGGAACCAGTGTGTGTTGTTTCCACGTATGTGTCTGTGTGTTCTCATCATTTCACTCCAACTTATAAGTGAGAATATGCAGTATTTGGTTTTCTGTTGCTGCATTAGTTTGCTAAAGATAATGGCCTCCACCTCCATCCACGTTCCTGCAGAGGGCATGATCTCATTCTTTTGTATGGCTGCACGGTATTTTATGGTGTATATGTGCCGTATTTTCTTTATCCAGCCTACCATTGATGAACATTTAGGTTGATTTCATGTCTTTGCTCTTGTGAATAGTGCGTCAATGAATATACAAGTGCATGTGTCTTTATAAAAGACTAATTTATATTCCTTTGGGTATATACCCAGTAATGGGATTGATAGGTAGAATGGTATTTCTGTTTTTAGGTCTTTGAGGAATTGCCACATTGTCCTTCACATTGGTTGAACTAATTTGCCCTCCTACCAACAGCATATAAGTGTTCGTTTTTCTTCACAACTTCACCAACATCTGTTGTTTTTTCACTTTTTAAGTAGCCATTCTGACTCATATGAGATAGTGTCTCATTATGGTTTTGATTTGCATTTCTCTAATGACCAGTGATATTGAGTTTCCTTTTTATATGATTGTTGGTTGCATGTATGTCTTCTTTTGAGAAGTGTTTGTTCATGTCCTTTGCCCACTTTTTAATGGGCTGTTTCTATTTTATGAATTTGTTTAATTTCTTATACATGCTGGCTACTAGACATTTGTCAGATGTTCAGTTTGCAACTCATTCTGTAGGTTGTCTGTTCACTCTTGATAGCTTCCTTTGCTGTTCAGAAGCTCTGTAGTTTAATCAGTTCCTGTTTGTCAATTTTTGCTTTGTCGCAATTGCTTTCAGTATCTTTGTCATGAGATCTTTGCCCATTCCTATGTCCAGAATGGTACTGCCTACGTTGCCTTCCAGGGTACTTATAGTTTTGGGTTTTACATTTAAGTCTTTAATCCAGATTGAGTTAATTTTTGTATATGGTATAAGGAAGGGGTCCAGTTTCAATCTTGTGCATATGGCTAGCCAATTATCCCAGCACCATTTATTGAATAGAGAATCTTTTCCCCAGTGCTTGTTTTTGTTAGGTTTGTTGAGGATCAGATAGTTGTTGGTGTGTGGCCTTATTTCTGGGTTCTCTATTCTGTTCCATTGGTCTGTATGTCTGTTGTTGGGCTTTTTTCACTGTTTAAGAATTTTTATTAAGGCAAGAATTTTATAATCTAAATTATGTTTCCTTGCTCAGTTTTCAATTCTGTTACTTAAAACAGAACTGGCATTTTGAGCTATTCCACAGTAAAGAATTATAAAATTAAAGAAAGGAATGCTTTAAATTCTTGTGCTTTGTTGAAAATTCTTTTTCCCAGAGTCTATAAAACATAATTTGTTTTTATATTTACTATTTTTGTGGGTGCTTTTGGATTTTAAATCAATAAGTAATCTAGGACTAGCATTATGTTTGCTAGACCTAGTATTTGCTCGGTACATAAGGTTCAAAGTTTTCTTTCCTTTTTTACTTTATATTTTACATTTTCCCCCATAATATTTAAGTTTTTCAATGTTTAGATATTTTCTTCAGTGAAGCACAAGTTTTTTCGTGGTCCCTGATCAATTTTAAACAGCTGGAACACCAGCGGCACTGTTAACGGCTTTCTGGGCAGCCTCTTTAGCTTGGTGGGCCTGTGGTACAGCTGTAGCTTCATCAATCTTAGAACAGAGTGACTCTGGAGACTTGAGCATATGAAGAAGTTCTGAATCATCAGTCTCCAACAACATGCCAGGGATTTTACCAGCAAGAGTAGAGTACATGGCTTGAATAAGAGGAAACAGCCATTCTCCCAATATTTCCTTTTGCTCTTGAGGAGGGGCAGATGCCAAAAAGGAAGCAGTTAAAGGGTCCTGACCTTGTACTGAACAGTAGGCTGTTGCATTGTAACTTGTGGCTGTGCATTAAGATGTTGCTGAGGATTGCAAACTCCTGCAGCATATTTATACTGTGGAATGGTGTGGAGAGCAGTAGTAGCTGCAGCAACTGCAGCTGCATGACATGGACCCATTGTCTGTGTTGATGTTTTAGCAATATGCTGTGTTGTATATGTATTTTTTTTATCAGTATTATGCTGTTTTGGTTACTGTAACCCTGTAGTATAGTTTGAAGTCAAGTAGCATGATACCTCCAGTTTTGTTCTTTTTGCTTAGAATTGCCTTGACTATTCAGGCTCTTTTTTTGTTTTACATGAATTTTAAACTACACTAGTTTCTTCTAGTTCTGTGAAGAATGTTAATGGTAGCTTAGTAAGAATAGGATTGAATCTATAAATTGCTTTGGGAAGTATGGCCATTTTAATAATATTGATTATTTCTATTCATGAGCATGGAATGTTTTTCCATTTGCTTGTGTATCTCTGATTTCTTTAAGCAGTGTTTTATAGTTCTTCTTGTAAAGATATTTTACCTCCTTGGTTACCTGTATTTCTAGGTACTCTGTGTGTATGTGTGTGTGTGTGTGTGTGTGTGTGTGTGTGAGAGAGAGAGAGAGAGAGAGAGAGAGAGATAGATAGAGAGAGAGAGAGAGAGAGAGATAGAGAGAGAGTTGTGAATGAGATTGCATTCCTGATTTGGCCATTGGCTTGACTGTTTCCTTTTTGTATGCCCTTAATTTCTTTCTCTTGCTTAATTGCCTCAGCTGGGACTCCAATGCCATGTTGAAAAGAAGTGGTGAAAGAAGGCATCCGTGTCTTATATAGGTTTTCAAGGGAAATGCTTCCAACTTGTGCCCATTCAGTATGATGTCAGCTGTGGTTTGTCACAGATGGATCTTATTATTACTAGGTTTGTTCCTTCAATACATAGTGTATGGAGAGTTTTTAACATGAAGTGGTGTTGAATTTTATCCAAAGCCTTTTCTCCATCTATTGAGATCATTGTGTGGTTTTTGTCTTCAGTTCTGTTTATGTGATGAGTTACATTTATTGATATGCATATGTTGAACCAAACTTGCATCTCAAGGATAAAGCCTAATTGATAATGGTGGATAAGCTTTCTGAAATGCTGCTGTATTTACCTGTAATTTGTTGGCGATTTTTGCATTGATGTTCAAGGATATTGGCCTGAAGTTTTCTTTTTCTATTGTGTCTCTGCTAGGTTTTGGTATCAGGATGATGCTGGCTTCATAGAATGAGTTAGGTAGAAGCCCCTCCTCTTCCACTTTTTGGAATAGTTTCAGCAGGAATGGTACCAGCTCTTGTTTGTACATCTGGTAGAATTCAGCTGTTAATCCATCTGTTCCTGGGCTTTCTAAAGTCTGTTTTGCCCGAAACTAGGATTGCAACCCCTGCTTTTTTCTGTTTTCCATTTGCTAGGTAGATTTTTCTCCATCTCTTCATTTTGAGCCTCATTGCACGTGAGATGGGTCTCTTATACACAGCATGCCAGTGGGTCTTGGTTCTTTATCCAGCTTGCCACTCTGTGTCGTCTTTTAATTGGGGCATTTAGCCCATGTACAGTTAAGGTTAATATTGGTATGTATGGATTTGATCTTGTCATCATGATGTTAGCTGATTAGTTTGCAAACTTGTTTTTGTAGTTGCTTTATAGTGTCACTGGTCTGTGCACTTCAGTGTGTGTTTTATAGTGGCTAGTAATGGTCTTTCCATATTTAGTGCCTCCTTCAGGAGCTCTTGTTAAGGTAGGTGTGGTGGTAACAAATTCCCTCAGCATCTGCTTGTCTCAAAAAGATCTTATTCCTCCTTCATTTAGGAAGCTTAATTTGGTCAGATAGGAAATTCTGGGTTGGAACTTCTTATCTTTAAGAATGTTGAATATTGGCCTCCAAAATCTTCTGGCTTGTTAGAGTTTCTGATTAGAGATCCACTGATAGTCTAATGGGCTTCCCTTTATAGGCGACATGACCTTTCTCTCTAGCTACCTTTAACATTTTCTTTTTCATTTTGATCTTAGAGATTCTGATGATTATGTATCTTGGGGATGATCTTCTTGTGAAGTATCTTACTGGGGCTCTCTGCGTTTCCTGAATTTGAATGTTGCCCTCTCTAGCTAGATTGGGGAAGTTCTCATGAATGATATCCTGTAATATGTTTTCCAAGTTTGTTCCATTCTCCTCATCTCTTTTGGGGACACCAATGAGTCATAGATTTTATCTCTTTACATAATCTCATACTTATCAGAGGTTTTAATCATTCTTTTTGCTCTATTCTTGTCTAACTGTCTTGTTTCAGAAAGCTGGGCTTCAAGTTCTGAGATTCTTTCCTCCACTTGGCCTATTTTGCTGTTAATACTTATTATTGATTGCATTGCGAAATTCTTGCACTGTGTTTTTCAGCTCTATCAGGTCAGTTATGTTCTTTTCTACACTGGTTATTTTGTCTGTGAGCTCCTGCATTGTTTTCTTATGATTTTTAGCTTCCTTGGTTTGGGTTTCAATATACTCCTGTAGCACAATGATCTTCATTCCTATACATATTCTGAATTCTATTTCTGTCATTTCAAGCATTCTCAGCCCAGTTCCAACCCTTTGCTGGAGAGGTGATGTGGTTGCTTGGAGGAAATAAAGTGCTCTGGTTCATTGTGTCATCAGGGTTCTTGTACTGATTCTTTTTCATCTTTGTGGGCTTATCTACCTTCAGTCTTTGAGGTTGCTGACCTTTGGATGGATTTTCTTTTTATCCTATTTGATGACCTTGAGGGTTTGATTGTGGTATAAGGTGGATTCAGCTGACTGGCTTTGTATCTGAGAGATTTTAGGGGTCAACATTCAGCTCCCAGCTCCTGGACTGTGTGCTTTAACTCTGGGGGACTTGTATTGGGCACCAACTTTGGTTTTTGACTCCTTAAGGTTAGTAATCCACTGCACTGATTGGGGATGAAGTGTTCCTGGACTGCTGGTCACTACACTCTAATGGGTAGTGTCAGCCAAAGCGTTTCATAGTGCAGTGACAGTATGATCTGTCCTTGTTCGTACATACCAGTAGCACAGGTAACCACAGCTGCAGCAGAGTGCTTGTGGGTGCCGCGATGTGTGCCTTCCTGCAGATGTTCATCATTGTGGCAGAGGCAACATAGCTGGGGGTGGGGGACTTTGCTGGCAACTGTGTGCACAGTCACACTGGAAGTGGTGTTGGTTCGGGGGTGTGGCAACTGTAGGCACAGGTCTGGGTGCCTCCTCTGTGCCCCACAAGCAGGAGTGATCACTCAGTGCAAGGGAGGATCCACTGTTAACACAATGGTGGGGCACTGGCAGGAGTAGGGCTGACTGGGTCTGCGCCTCCAAGGCTCTGTCTGCAATGGCAATCAGGGAATGGCAGGGCAGACTGCACTCCTGCACACTGGCAAGGCAAGGAAAGCAAAACCTTCCCACATAGGCACTACCAGCAAAGTAATGTGGGGAGTTGCCATGGGCCTGAAGGAAGCTACCATATGGGGAGGGAGGGAGCATGTGGGCTGCTGTGTGGCCATAGAGGCTGCCCTTTGGGAGTGCTCCACCACTCAGGCACAGCCTGCCAGCGCAGAAGCTATAAAGCCTGCCCCAGGTACCTGAGATTGCCCTGCAAGCAGGTGCAACCAGACTGAGGACCCAGGAGAGGCCAGCAGACCAAGGGTTGCTCAGGTCAAACCAGTCCTGTCTGATGGGCAAAACTGCCCTGCTCTCACCACAGGCCTCTGGAACCCCACCAGGAGGAGACCTCTCGGCCACCATGGACACTCTAGTTGGCAGGGAGGGCTACTTAGAGAAGTGATTGGGGGAGCAAGCCAGGTGATGAGCCCAGAGAGTTTGGTGTGGGAGTATCTGTAGCAGAGCATGGGCAGGAACCACCCATTCCCCTAGGCTCAACTTACTCCCATAGGAGATGTTAGCCCAAGGAGGACAGTCAGACCTACACTCCGCAGGGCAGTTTTGCTCATCAGACAGGACGGCTAAAAACTCTCAATAAACTACGTATCAAAGGAATGTATTTCAAAATAATAAATGCTATTTATGACAAATGTGCAGCCAATATCCTACTGAATGGGTAAAAACTGGAAGCATTCCCTTTGAAAGCCAGCACTAGACAAGGATGTCCTCTGTCACCACTCCTATTCAATATAGTATTGGAAGTTCTAGCCAGAGCAATTAGGCAAAAAATCATAATAATAATAATAAATAAAGGGTACTTAATTAGGAAAAGAAGAAGTCAAATTGTCCCTATTTGCAGATGACATGATTGTATATATTTAGAAGACCCTATTATGTCAACCCAAAATCTCCTTAAACTGATAAGCAACTTCAGCAAAGTCTCAGGATATAAAATCAATGTGCAGAAACCACAAGCATTTCTATACACCAATAACAGACTAACAGAGAGCCAAACCATGAGTGAACTCACCTTCACAATTGCTACAAAGAGAATAAAATACCTAGGAATACAGCTAACAAAGGATGTAAAGGACCTCTTCAAGGAGAACTACAAACCACTGCTCAAGGAAATAAGAGAGGACACAAACAAATGGAGAAACATTCCATGCTCATGGTTAGGAAGAATCAGTTTGGTGAAAATGGCCAAACTGCCCAAAGCAATTTATAGATTCAACGCTATCCCCATCAAGCTGCCAATTACCTTCTTCAAAGAACTGGAAAAAATCACCTTAAACTTCATATGGAACCAAAAGAGAGTCCACCTAGCCAAGACAATCCTAAGCAAAAAGAACAAAGCCTGAAGCCTCATGCTACCTGGTTTCAAACTATACTACAAAGCTACAGTAATCAAAACAGCATGGTACTGATACCAAAACAGAGATATAGATCAATGGAACAGAACAGAGGCCTTGGAGGCAATCCCACACATCTACAACAATCTGATCTTTGATAAATCTGACAAAAACAAGCAATGGGGAAAGGGTTCCCTGTTTAATAACTGGTGTTGGGAAAACTGGCAGGCAGTGTGCAGAAAGCAAAAGCTGGACCCCTTCCTGACACCTTACACTAAAATTAACTCTAGATGGATTAAAGACTTAAACATAAGACCTAACACCATAAAAACCCTAGAAGAAAACCTAGGCAAAACCATTCAGGACATAGGCATAGGCAAGGATTTCATGACTAAAAAACCAAAAGCATTGGCAACAAAAGCCAAAATAGGCAAATGGGATCTAATTAAACTCCAGAGCTTCTGTACAGCAAAAGAAACAATCATTACAGTGAACCAGCAACCAACAGAATGGGAAAAAATTTTTGCAATCTACCCATCTGACAAAAGGCTAATATCCAGATTCTACAAAGAACTAAAACAGATTTACAAGAAAAAAACAAACAAACCCATCCAAAAGTGGGAGAAGGATATCAACACTTTTCAAAAGAAGACAGGTATGAGACCAACAAATATATGAAAAAATGCTCATCATAACTGATTATTAGAGAAATGCAAATCAAAACCATATTGAGATACCACCTCATGCCAGTTAGAATGGAGATCATTAAAAAATCTGGAGACAACAGATGCTGGAGATGTGGAGAAAAAGGAGGACTTTTACACTGTTGGAGGGAGTGTAAACTAGTTCAACCATTGTGGAAGACAGTGTGGCACTTCCTCAAGGACCTAGAAATAGAAATTCCATTTGACCCAGCAATCCCATTACTGGGTATATACCCGAAGTGTTATAAATCATTCTATTATAAAGACACATGCACATGTATGTTCATAGTAGAACTGTTTACAATGGCAAAGACCTGCAACCAACCCAAATGCCCATTGATGATAGACTGGACAAGGAAAATGTGGCACATATACACCATGAATACTATGCAGCTATAAAAAACGATGAGTGTGTGTCCTTTGTAAGGACATGGATGAATCTGGAAACTATCATTCTCGGCAAACTGATACAAGAACAGAAAGTGAAACAGAACATGTTCTCACTCATAGGCGGGTGCTGAACAATGAGAACACATGGACACAGGGAGGGAAGCATCACACACTGGGGTCTGTTGGGGGTTGCCAAGGGAGGTACAGCAGTAGGGTGGGGGAAGTTGGGGAGGGATAACACAGGGAGAAATGCCAGATATAGGTGACTGGGGGAATGGAGGCAGCAGTCCACATTGCCATGTGTGTACCTATGCAACAATCCTGCATGATCTGCACATGTACCCCAGAACCTAAAGTACAATTTAAAAAAAATGTAAATTTCAGCCCAAAGCCAACAACTTAGTTTGAAAACACTAGTGTCAAAACCAGGATACTTACAGCCTTCACTGTAAGCAATTATTTAACATTGTATTAAAGTTATTCAAAGATATAGTTGTAAATGGGAAATAAATAAGAGGCCTAAGAATCAGAAAGGAAAAAGTATACCTATATCTATACAGAGAAAATTTATTATGTATTTGGAAACCCTGAGAGAATCTATGGAAAAATCTCTCCGAATAATAATAGTTACATTACAAAGTAGAATTAACAGAGTAATACATAGAATGTATATATGTAAGTAATAATCATATCTAATTAAAGATAAGACTCTCATTATAGTAGACAAAACAAAATTCCCAAGCACAATTATAATGAGAAATACACAAAATTATGAAACACTCTTAAAAGATACTAAAGTAGACCCCCAAGAAATGGAAAGACATATCACAGTTTATGACTGGAAGCCTCAAGATCCAAAGATTTTGATTCTCCTTAAATTTACTTCTAAATTTAAGATGCAATCTTAAATGCATCTGTGCAGCAAATATGCCATCAGGGTTTTTTCTGGAGCTAGACAGATTAATTATAAAGATTATGGTTAAACATGAATAGTCAGCAAATCCCTAAAAAAGAGGAACAATATGTGGGAGGTTACCCTCAAGTTATGAAAACATAATGAAGCTTCTACAGTTAAAGCAGTGTGGTATTGGCTTATGGCTAGATAGATAGACCAATGGAACAGAGTGGAAAAATACGGAAATAGTCCAGCTGCCCTTTGAAATTTAGTACAAGATAAAGACAGGAGCTCAAAAGTAGAAAAAAGAGGGATTGTTTAATAAATGACAGTAAAATAACTGGATAACCAGAAGAAAAAAGGTAAAGTTGAATCTATTCCTCACTTCACACACTGGTATCATTTTTAAACAGATGAAACATCTCAATGTAAAAGAATGAATTCATAAAAATATTATGAAAAAATGAATTTCTTCATAACCTAAGAAGTGACAAAACACTTCTAACTTTGATTTAAACACCTGAAACAATAAAAGATTAATACATTTAAGTTTAAAAAATTACATCATAAGAAATGTCGAAAATCAAATCACAAATTGGAAAAAAAAAAAGATGCATACAACTTACACCTCAGGCAAAAGACTATTTTTCCTAATACACTGTTCTCTTAAAACTTGAAAAAATCAAAATCCCAACAGCAAAGTGGGGAAAAGGTACAATAAAATAGACCATATAGGAATACCAATAGCCATTAAATACATGAAAACATCCCTAATCTTTCTCATAATAAGAGAAATGCAAAATTAACACAAAAACTGTTTCACACCTATCAGGTTGGAAAATTTGAAAATTCTGAGAAGATACTGGGTTGGAGAGACTATAGGAAAATAGGCACTGTCATTCACTGCTACAGGGAGTACAAATGCCTGTTCTCCCCAAAATAATCTGCAGATTCAAGACAATTCCATTAAAATCTCAGAAGTTTATTTTTGTTGGAATTTATAAGCTTATTCTAAAACCTAATAT